GCCAGGCAAAGCATTCTTGCTTTTATTATGATTTAAAAATAACCAAAATGTTCTTACCCAACATTCTAGTAAATTAAGAGTTTAGGAAATCAGGCAGAAAAAAAAAAATAGAACTAACTGTTTATGTTTGCAAGGTGCTTTGTACTCTGTGAGTAAACTATCTTCTAAACCAGCTTAAGTACCTTATTCTTTCTCATTTCCTGAACAGCAAACCTATCAAAACATGACTACTTTTTCAACACAGGGAAGTATGGGCTTAATATTTAAATTTTTTTTATTTTAAACTTTGGGATGAGATGACTTTACATTCTGTAGCTAGATTCAGTTCTCTTGGGCCATCTGTGGTTATTGTAAGAAAACATTTTAGGTGATTTTATTAGTTGGTTGATTGATTGGTTGATTGGTTGGCTGGTTGACTTTTTGGGGGTGTTGGTGGGGTTTTTGGGTTTTTTTTGTTGGTTTTTTTTTTTTTTTTTTTTTTTTTTTTTTTTTTTTTTTGCCAGGTGTGCCAGTATGTGGGGTAATTCCAGAGGTTTAAGAGCCTCTCTGTCTGTCTGCTTTCTTTGAAGCTGTGCAGTCTGAATTAGTTCTGCCATCTGGGTAGGAATAAGAGAATCTGAAGAAATAGAATAATTTTATGTAAACTATAATTAATTCAATATATGAATGGGAGACAGAGTTGTCAATGAAAATCCAGTTGCACCCTTTGATCACAGAAATATTTCCTTGGCTAGAGCAACTAAAACTTTTTCCCATGCACAAACTGATGGAAGTTCTAAGGGTACAAATACTGCAATCATCTATACTGGACCTATGCAACCAACACTTAGAAGCAATGTCACAGTTCCATCCTCCAGTGTGGGAGGGTGTTCCATCCTGTCCAGTACCCTGATGTCAAATCCATGATGCTAACATACAGTAAGGTTGAGTTGTGATATAAGGCAGAATACCTCTGTCTTTCTTTTTCTGTAGCCTTCTCCTGCCTTTTTGTAAGTTCTAGTGGAAAAGACTAGCAGGATACCCATATTCTGCCATCATCAGCAGTACCAGGGAACTTCATGCCTACATTTTTTGTGTTGTGTTCTTACCCTTAGTTCTTGCCAGGTAAGGAAATATGAATCTATAGGACATACTTGATGCCAAAAGTTCTTGATCCCAAGGGTACTCAGTTCTATTCTTCATAATGCAGCAAGATGCCTAACATTTTCAAGAACACTTTCAACTTACATTTTAACCCATGAGTGCAGGTGAAATGTATGGAAATAAATGTTGTTCTTGGTTCAGCCCTTTGGCAGTCCACAAGACTGATTTTAGTGTACCTGATCAAACTATTATACAACAGTTAAGCTCCACCTGGAGAACTAGATGTCATTGTGAAAAAAATGAATGCTTATGTCCATTCTCTAACTTGCAAAATTTGTGGTGGTGAAATAACTAATAATAGATGTCTTCTGAATTATTTTGCTAAATAATTCGTAGTCCAATATTGTCTATTTTTATTGTTTTTACGGTTTCAAAATTCTTTGTTAACATATACAATGCATACTATAAAAAATTAGATTTATTCATGAGGACAATATGGTCAATAGTTTAGTTTAATTACTCTTGTTTAGAATCTCATAATCTCTACTGGGCAAGGTTTACAAAATGACCCACATTATCTCATTTAGGTATTTCTTTTGCTTCTAAGGACATGCAACTCAATGGAGATCTGCAGTAATTTTGCAGATTGAAAATTTGCTGTTTTCCAAGAATAAACTTAAGGAGATTCTGGATCAAAGCAGCACAGAAATTACAAAAAGTTATGTAATTTAAAAAAAATGCTTTCTGGTCATAAGCAATAATCCTTATTTAAATTAATTGAAGAACAGGAATTGAAAATAAATCATGGAATAAAAAAGATAGAAATAACTAAAATATTAAGAATGGAAAGTGAGAGGGATACCAACCTCCATCACCTCCAATTATGTCAAAGTAGTTATTTGTAATGGTCTTTTATATTCTCACAATGTAATAAATAGCACTTACCAAGAGAATTCCAGGGGACCTCAGCTCATTACCAAAAACCAGAATGATTTTGCATGTGTTTTTACATTACTTTCTATTTTATTTGTACAATACTTTTTATTTCAGAGAAATGCAGGTGTACTTCTGGAGATGTAATACATCAATTTTTTTCCTGCTATCCCACCTAAAAATTCACCCAGTTTTTCTGGAATGAAAAATAACTCAACCACACAGACGAGAAACAAACCTCTTGTATTTTTCAGAGGAGCATCATGGATTAGTTTAAGATATTTCTGAATATAGGTGATCATGCACAAGTGGTACTTCATCCTGTCTTTGGGCTGTTCAAATAGAATTTGAATTCTATTCTATTCTATTCTAGTCTTTCTATTCTATTCTATTCTATTCTATTCTATTCTATTCTATTCTATTCTATTCTATTCTATTCTATTCTATTCTATTCTATTCTATTCTATTCTATTCTATTCTAATTGAATAAGGTAAAACAAGAAAACAAAACAGTTTTCAGTATGAGAATTGACTTGTGGGACTTTCCCTTGTGCTTCCCTGGGAAATGGTGAGGAATTGCCTTGGTTAGCTCAAAGACCTCTGTGTAGGCTGCTTTGGTAGCACTGCTGACTTCAGTGAATTGGATCCAAAGTACCCTCAGCTCCTGTTCAACTTCCTTCAGCTACACAGACCTGTTGGGTAGTTCTGGTGGAGCACATTTGCTCTATCAGATATGCTAAAGCTATTTAGAGCTACAAGGGAAATTACAGCTGGTGACTAGGAGAGGTTTGAAGGGAAAAGTGTATGTTATTCAGATATATAATTACTTCTGCCATTCCTGCATGGCGGATGACTTTCTGACCAGGAACTGAAGCAGCTGTTCCCAGTCCCCTGACAGCAGGAGAAGCACAGTCTTGTGAGGGTACCCAGTCTGCTTGAGAGTACCTTCAGAACTGGCTGGCTTTGAGCTGAGTATCTGCCCCAAGAGTCCTGAAAGTTGGAAGCTGTAGTCTGCTTTTCACTTAGAAATTCAGTTAATCCGTCATCAACCTTTAGTCAAGGAACGTTGCTATGTTTCACAGCATTCAAAAAAAAAAATTTAATGCTTTTAAATCTTAAGAATTTCATTAGCTCATTTCACCTCTGAGTCACATGACAATGTTGGTGGAAGAAGGGGGAAGGGAATGCTGCAATTGCTCCCTGCAATATTCATAATGTAAAGGTAGTACAGAATCGGTTAATAATTTCAAAATTTAAGTAGACTAAATTCTGCTATTTCTGGTTAATGGCTTTGAATGTGTGATACAATGGAGGTGTGTGCAGTGTGGTCAGATGACTACCCAAAACCAGATACTCTTGGCATCCATTATGGTACCCTGACAAACAAACAAACAAACAAACAAACAAACAAAAGTGGGTAGATGTGTAAACCTTAGAGGGTTTAGAGTTAAAAATATTGAGGATACTCTCCTCAAATTTATTTTCTGTATTTTCTGCTGACTCTTTTGTGAAAATAATGGTTTTATTTTACACTCTTTAAAGAAAAAAACAATATAAAGAAGTTATTACCAAAGATATTTGAAGTAGTTAGTCTGACTGTCTGGTGAAGAACTTTCATATTTGAGGACTGACTGGTTGCACTTGAAGTGACCAGGGAGAGTAATCTGGAACAGTTTGCATATGTTGCAGCTGCTAATATTCAGTAGCTGTTACAAAAATTTTTCTTCTTGACAAAAAGCAATAGAAGAACTGTTCACTTGGACAGTAATGAATACTAGAGCTGCCATTTTAGCCATGATTATTAGTCTCATGGCAAGAGTAAATGAGAATATCTTCAGTACAGAAACATCACTAGTGATGCAGAGGCTGCAAGCCTTCGAATATATCTCTATGCCAGCCTAGAAAGGGTCAGATTTAGAAATAAGAACTTCACGTAAATTCACAGAATGCACATGGTAGGAAGCAAACTTAGTAGGAATTTAAAAAAATGTGGAAGAGGAAAAACTTTTCAAGAGCTTCAAATTTCTGTCATTAAAGTCTTTGGCAACAGCCTGTTTGGGCAGTGGATATGTGAAGAAAAAGGTTTGCTGTCATAGTGGAACTTGTTTCTTACAGAAGACAGATTATATGATTCTTGGAATATTTGAAATATGGAACTTCAGCATCAGAAAAAGTATCTGAAGTTCTTTTTAACGTAAGAAAGATTTATGCAGAAAAGCATGAAATTTAAAATAGTAAAACCTGCCTTTTTTTTTTCCAAGATAAAAGCGTTCATGAAGAGCTTATATTATATATTTATTAGTAGAGAATTCATAGATGATTGCCTAGCAGTTCACTTTACAGACACACATTGTTGACTTCATGAACTAATAGAAAGAAAACTATTTCTGCATACCTATCCTGCAGTGGTTAGATTTACTAGACAATGATGCATGCAATCCCCATATATAAACCAGTCAAAGGATACTATCTACAAGCTTAAATGCCTCACATAATTTATTTTTCCCCCCAACCAAAGTCTTGTAACTTCAGCTTGCATGGTTATTGAGCTTTGTGTTCTAGTTCTTGCCATAAATTAATTCTAAAACTCATAAAATGCAAGGTCCTGGTGTGTTTTTTTTCTTTACAATTCTTTAGTGAATGAAGAATTCGTTACATTAAAAGATACAATCTCTGCAAAGATATTCTTTCTTCATTGCACTGGATGAAATAAATACTGGAGTATATGATTTGATTTGTCATACATCTCTGTCTGAAAAAGCAAAAACATCCACTCTGCATTTTAGAGCCAGACCACCAGTTAGAATAATGAGCATAGCTCTTGTGATTTAACGTAGTTTCAAATAACCCAACTAATAATCTACAAAACAAAAAGAAACTGGTTTTGTTACAAATCTGTTTTACCATCCTGAAGGAAAGGGCTCTAAGTTTGCATAGTTACCTTAGGAGCTAGCAAACACATCTGCACAGTTTTGGTTTTTTTTTTGTTTTTTTTTTTAGTAATATGAGTTTTCACTTTAATTGGAGCTATTATTCGTAGACAAATGTTGCGTTAATGGAGGAAGGGAAAAAGATGTGATACATAGTTTCAGATGGAGATAAGTATCTTGATAAAAGAAGTCATTGGAGGGCAGAAGCATAATTAAGCCGGACTGACTGTGGAGGTCATGGTAGAATAACAAGTATCAAAGGATGCAAAAACAGAGAAGCGTTGGCATGGAGACTGGGAGGCACTTTAGTATTAAATATAGCACATTTCAGATAGAAACATGGAATAGAGCCTGATCACAAATACTGCTGGATTTTCAGTAATTCACATTACCTAAACCGAAATGAAAACCTTGGTCTTTTGCTGTTCTGAATCAATATTTTGTTTCAAGTAAGTAAAAGTTTTTATATCTCTGTAGATTTTGAAGCTTGTAGTTAAGTTCTGTTACATCTTGTATATCACAGAACATTGATTTTCATCAGGTTATTCTTACTGATGTCCCTTATAGTCTTTTAAAAAGGAGATTCCTCTTTTCTATTAAACCATTGTAGTTGTGATTTTGTTATTGTGTTGTGCACTATTGTGAAAAATTAGAAGATTTTGTGGTTTGTTCTCCAACTGGGACAGTATTTCAGAGATCTATGAAGACCATGTGTTCTGACCTGCCCTAGAAGGCAAGGGTAACACAGGTTCTTGTTAACAGATCCCTTGGGGTGGGTTAGAGTGAAACAAAATGGATGGATGTTTGTAAATATCCTTATGTAGGGTTTATTTTAGAACAATACAGCTGCACTGGGAAGCAGGTATGTAGCCATTTTGTTTACTACTATCTATAGTAATATAACAGTATGAAAGAATAAAAATATTACAGGAAGGAAGGAAAAAAGAAATTAAGGAGTAAAAACATATCATTACCCACAGACCTTGCAACAAGACTTGTTGCAATATGGTTGTCCATTGGCTGAAGTGATGCTCTTGATTCATTGGGGGTGACAGAAGAAGTATTTAAAACATAAAGTCCATTGAGTTTTTGCTATGCTCAGGCTAGGTGAAAACACCCAGGTACCACCCCTGCAGTGAAATGTTTAACACTGGATGATGCAATACTGGATGATGAGACATTTCAGGAGTGTGACACCTTCTGATACATTACAGCTGACTCCTACAACAGCAGGGTTGAGTCAATTACAGCCTATTATGGGGCCATAATAGGGAAGTTATCACAACTGAGTTCACCTGAGTAAAGAGAAAGAAACAGTACCCTGCCTTAAAGGGTTTGCCTCATTTTTTATGTTACTCAACACCCAGCTTGTCACCTGAGCTAGCTCATGTGCTGTCCCTCTGCATACTTTGCATGAGGACATCTTGCCCCTTAATTGTTCCAGTCATTCCAGTCTCTCCCACATCCTTAGGCCTGGCATAATTGGGCAATAGTATCCCCTTGATTTCATCTCAAGTCTCTCACTAGGGAACAGTTATATAAAAAGCCTTCCTTTGTCTGTACAAGGTTTATATGCTGTTTTTTTTTTGTTTCTTAATTGTATCTTGAAAATAGCTCTTTGCTCAGTTGCCTTTGAAAGCTTTGTTTTATTAAAGACCATGCATGAAAGCATAGAGACTTGTTTGTCCATCTGTGAACCATAAAATAAATATTTAAAATTGACCACATCTCTCTTTCACCTGGTATCAGTTTTCAATGGTCTTTACAAAATTACTGAACATATGGTTGGAAGACAATAATTGTGATATATTCTCTTCAACAAATTATTTTCTTTCAATAAAATAATTTATTAAGTAAAAATTTATAGAATAAATTTATAGTAATTTATAAAAAAATAAATAAGCATAATTAATAAATAATTAATGACTGCCAAATCAGTCAAGCTTAGGGCTCCATTTTAAGTGAGTACATGCTCTAGCTCCCAGATGTCTACTAACTATTGTTAAAAGTAAAGGTCATTACAAAACCAGTAGTCTTACCTAGGCGGATTCTGAGTTCCCGGTGTGTGTTTGTGATAATTAATGAGATTTTGTGTGTGTGTGACTTAGAATGCATTTGCCCTGCATTCTTCATAGATGAGATGAAATGCAAAGGTACTGTACATTTAGCATGGGTAACAGAAGAATCCCTCAGAGTTGACACCTTAGAACCGTAGTGATGACAATGAAGACAATGAGGTTCTGTAAGAGTATAAATCACTGTTTTCACATTTTTATGTTCTACTTACAAAAGCCTGTATCCTTCATAATTTTATTTTCCTTGGGCATGTACATGTGTTTGTGCACATGTACATCCACGAAAAATTTGTGTCATTCAACCAACGCTGGTGTAACTAGTTGTACTGTGTTTGTGGGGCAAGGTTTTGTAGCTGTGGGTTACCAGGATGGCTTCCATTAGAAGGTGTTGGAAGCATCCCTCACATCTAACAGAGGCAAGGCCAGTCAGCTCCAAGACTGACATGTACCTGGTCAAGACCAAGCCCAAATCCATCAGTGATGGTAGTATAATCTCTGAGATAATATATTTAAGAAACAGCAAAAAAATATGACACAACAACTGGACCAGGCCTTCTGGCAGGATTTGTGACTCTGGGGGAAACCATGCTGGAGAAACAAGTTCCTGACAGATTGCACTCCATTGAAGAGGTCATGCTAGAGCAATCTGTTCCTTCAGTACTGCATGGGAGGAACTAGTCTGGACCAACTCGTGAAGAGCTGCAGTCTGTGAGAGGAATTCATGTTGGAACAGTTTGTGCTTTCCCATGGGAGTGACTCCATTCTAGAGCAGGGCAAGAGAGTGAGGAATCCTCCCCATGAGGAGGAGGGAACAGAGAAAACTTGTGATGGACAGACCACAACACCCATTCTCCATTCCACTGTGCCACTCAAGGATGAGAAGAGACAGATTGAGAAGTGAAGTTGAGCCCAGGAAGAAGGGAGGGGTAGGGGAAGGTGTTTTAAGATTTGTGTTTATTTCTCATCATCCTGCTCTACTTTATCAGTAATACATTAAATTAATTTCCCCAAGTCAAGTCTGCTTTGCCCATGATGGTAACTGGTGAGTGATTCCTCTTTGTCTTTGTCCTGGCCTTTGAGTCTTTTGTTATACTTTCTCTCTGCTGTCCTATAGAGAAGGGGAATGATGGACACCTGGAGGCTGCTCAGGGTCAACCCATCACACAAGGATCAGGTCAGCTTGCCCTTAGTTCTGAAAGGCAGCCACTTCATTTCATTAACATGGCCTTCTGCTTCCAAACTGACCCGTGATGGCTCTAGGTCCTCTTTTTGCAACTAGTTTCTCCTTTCTAGTTTTTGCTTGGCCTGGCCAAGTTTGGTTATATATATAACTTCTGTGATAAAAAGTTTAAAATACATTTAATTCTAATCTGATCCAATCTTCTTTTCCAATTTTTTTATGTAGTTTTTTGTTTTTCTCCTTCAATGTGCAGATGTTGTTTTTCTTGTTTTATTGTGTGTAAAAATGGTGTTTTCAGCTCTAGAGTATGTAAGTAGGGGGCTTGTTCAGTGTATACATCTGATAGGAGATGATGTAATGGAAGAATTTTAAAATTTATTTCCCTTCTCTCTCCAGGTATTCTTCCCTCTCTTTTTAAAGCTAACTCTGTGATGCTAAACCAACTTGTTGATATAAGATCTGAAAGATAGGGTTATAAGTACATGTATATTTTATCTAAACAGATAGTTAGGTATGTATCTATTGATCTATCTATCTGATCCATCTAATCCATCTAATCTATTTAGGTATAGTGTAAAGGTATTTTAGTTTTTTTTTTTTTTTTTTTTTTAACATTCATTCCCATGGGTTACTTGGGATCATTCAGGTTGGAAAAAAGCCCCCCCTTGGGCCTTTTCTGAAGATGGCTTTGATGTCTCCCATTTTTCATTGTCAGGGATCTTCCCTGATCACCATCACATTTCAGAGATGGTGGAGGGTGGCCTTGCAAGAAGATCAGCCGTTTCCACTTTTTCTTGAATGCTGCTTGTCTAGACTTGTGTACTTCTATGGATAAAGTTGTCTCTGGTAATCTCTGGCTTGATGCTTGTCCCCTGGTCTTAGTCTTTCTCCATGAACCTTGCCCCTAAGCATGGAGGCCTGGGAGAAGTTGATGGGGATAACTGTGGCAAAGAAGGTATGGAGTAACACATCCTCATCTTTATCCGCTCTTGGAAATCACCCACATTCTTCAACAACGTCTCTACTATTTCTTTTATCAGACCTTTATGGTTGATGTAAAACAAATGCTCATTTTACTTTTGAAATGTCCAATTAAGCTGGGGTTTTCCCTATATCATCCTAATACAGTGCCCAGGCAATGCTTCAAAATTTTGCTGTGGCCAGTCCCTGCATCACCCTCCCACCCTTGCTCTATCATAAGTTTTCTGCCAAGGCAGACTGGTGTCTTTACTTCCCTACCTTTTCACAGATTATTAGGTTAGATTGTTCTTGAATTTGAAGGCTGCCATCCTTAAAGCTCTGCAGTTTCCCTGAGCTGCTCTTTCATGTTCCCAGGACCGATACATCCAATAGCAGTGCTGACATTTTCTGACACAGACTCACAATGGGATTTGTGGTGTAACTTATAGAGCAACTAGCTTTTTCCCACTTTACAGCTGATTTCTCATATTATTTGTTATGTGAATTTCAGGTTTTAAAACTTGATAATCACTTAACATCATCTGAACCTGAATATTCCCTGACTGAGAAGGCACTGAAGCTATGAGCAAATAAAACCTGTTTGTGCTGCCTAATTCCAATCAGAATTGCGGCACTGTTCCATAGTATCTCTGCTGGATGAACCAGAACTGGCATATCCATTGATTTCTAACAGCTGTTTTCTGCCAATTCCAGCTCCTGACAGGTAGCAAGCTGTGTAGCTGGCAGCAAAGAATCGCAAACAGTTCAAACATGCCCCAGGGAGGGCAAGTGCTTACCCAAAGCCCATCAAGGAATTGCTATTATGCTTCACAAGATACATATATATTCACCACATCTGTCTCCTATTATTTGTAGTCAGAACTGACAAAGGACTGAGATAAACACGTGCCTGTTTAATACTGTACTAGAACAAGGTGTTTGTAAGAGAAAAACATTGTAGACATTTTGATGAACAATTTCCTAATGAAGCTTCTTTTGTATATCCTGTGAAATGTTTCTGTAGCTAATCCACACTTTAATAGACCAAGTTATCTATTCAAATACTAAGCTAACCTATTAAAATACTTTAAATCTAGATTTGTTCATTTTCATCTGGTGCTTTGACAATCTCACAACATAGCACAAGCCTTTATCTGAGGATGTACTGCCTTCTTTTTTTCTTTTTTAATTTTTCTGAGAGCTCTTTTCACAAAGAACCAACCAGAGGATGCTG